CCGACGGAGGCTCGTGCCGGAGCCGAGCGCTCCAGGGCCTCTGCACAGCATTTGAGGAAGAGGGTTGAGGATCGCTTCATGCCCACCACTTCAGGATTGCCATGTGTTCTACGTTACCACGTAACTACACTTCACAAGGGGTAGGAAAGCAACTTCCCGGAGCAAAGTCCGCTACAACGGCGCGGTGGTTTGGCACAAAGCTTCCCAAGCCTGACCTGGCCCCCTTCACGCATCAAACCGCAACGGGCAAACACCTGGACTCGGGATCGGGAGGGAAAAGCCCCCCCGCAGAGGCTAGGAGGCAGGCAAGGCATTTAAGCTCCAACCCAAGAGCCCACCGTTCCCAAAGGAGGTGCAGAGCGAATCTAGACGCCAAGCGGTGCCTTCACCGGGGAGAAACGAGTCACAGCAGGATCCTTGGCGGATCATTCCGAACTAGTGCAATCAGCGCCGCCCCGACCGCCAGCATCCAAACACAATGGACAGAGGAGGAGAACGTCTGGGTCGGAGCGAGCCCGTGCTGGTCACAAAGGCAGCACTATGACTGCGGGAGGGGAAGGGTCAGAAGGCTCATTTCGCAGGTGGATCTGGGGTTTTTTTCTTCCCTCCTAAGAGGGGGCGTCAGTACAGTAGATGGCAAATTCCATTTCATCTGGACACAGACATCCTGTCGGGTGCCGGGGCCTGGATTTTCCTGGGTCACAGGGTAGAAGCCAGGCACCCAAGCAGAAAAGTTCACCTTCAGGCAGCTGGGAAAGGAGAAACGGGTTGGAGGAAGTGAGAGGTTTCACGTTACCAAGGTGCAGGTGCAAAACTAAAAGCATGTCCCCTCCTTCCTGTTGTCTGAGATCCGAACAGGGCCGCACAGCTACAACTCAGAGTGCTACAGCAGGGGAGTCAGTGGGTGTCCCGCGTCTACATCGCCAGCCATCATTATTCCACCGAGTATCCCAGGAGGAATCTAGATCTGGAAAGCCAACAAGAGAGATTTAAACGATTTGAAGGCTCAGCATTGTTCTACTGAGGAATCACTGGGGTTTGAGCAGGCCGAGCGTCACTGCTTTACTGCGCCAGAGGGACAGCTTGGGGAATTCCTGGCAAGGGAAACAAATTCCCGAAACGTTGGTGAGACGGAATGAGGAAGCTCAAGCGGGCAGATTGTCTCGGTGGCACTCAGCTTCCTCAGCCAGGCATGGCTGCAATTTGAGAAGACAGAACCAGGCTCCGCAGAGCCCAGCGCGAGCCCGAGGACACTGCAAAACCCCCGAGAGCATTCCAGAAAGGCTGTCGGCGCTCATCCCCCGCTGCCAACCGCCTTCCCAAAGGTGATATTTCAGCTCCAGGTGACTTCTTATTGACTTGTCTTGTCATCTCCCCTTCCCACGGCAAAAAATAACTGCAGACACATCCGACTTCAAGGACAACGGGTGAAAAGCGGTTTCAAGGGGAAGAAGAAAGGGATTTCTCCCGGATTCCTACCTTTGCCCACAAAAAGCTCTTTTGAAAAAGTCATTTGAGTCAGAGACAGACGATTTTTAAGCCCACCTGCGCCTAAGACTCCCAGACTCTGTGCTGCCTGAGCTCTGCCATCAGTTCTCAGCAGCACTGCTTCCACTTTCTGCTAAAACCCTGCTTCCAGGCCAGGAGCTGGGTTTCTGCCAAAAAACCTGCTCTCCAGTACCAACCACGCAGGGGCTTTGTGACCGTTTCTAACGGGAAAAGCCAACATATCGCGTTTACAACACACAGCAGGCGCCGCAGCCGCTGCTCCCAGCCTGCCTGGCTCCCGGCAGGAGGCAGCACCTGCTCGGGAAGACCTTACCTTCTGATCCAGTCGCTGGTAATCACCAGATTTGGGCCGTCGACCACTTTTTGATCTTTTTCCTTCCAGAGCAAAAGCAATGATCTTTGGAGAGAGAGAAGCAAGGGACAAGGTGAGTGGGACAGTAATCACCAAATACGCTTTTTCTCACTTCAAACGTAGGCGCTTCCTCTCGGGCTTTACTCCCCTCCTGATCCCACTTCATTTGAAAGAGCACTTGAAGCAAATAAATGCCAATATTTAAAGGCAGCTAAGCTTGAAAACAGACAACAGTGAGGTCTGCCTAACACACAGAAAACAAATAGAGTTGGTTTGCCTTCTCCTACCTCAAAAATAGCCTTACAGGAGGGAAAAACCCCCGGCAAAAGACAGGTACGTCACTTGAGCTGCATCCCCTGGGCAAGGCTATTTAAGGACAAATCTGCAACCCGCGACAGAAAACTCACTGTCAGCGAGAAAACGCAGGGTAGCTTCACACATCTTTTCACTTCTCAGCTGAAAATAACCACCAGAGCCCAATATCCACAGCGATCCAACCCCTTTCCCAGTTACAACACCCCCTCTGCTTCTCCCAGCGCTGCTGAGACCAGGGCTGACCACACGCACGCCGTGCGGCCAGCGGGAAGTACCGGGGAGGAACCCGAAGCAGGGCAAGGGGAAGGAGCAGGTCCCCATCTGCAGCGGTGACTGGTGAGGGAGGAAGCTCCCGGATCGCAGGGGAGCTGCCGGGAGCCTGGGCAGGGAGCAGAGCCACTCACCTTGCGTTTGTTGTGATAGGCAACGTAGAGGGCGGCAATGATAACCGCGGTGGTCACCAGGTAGGCGAAGAAGTGGCTGCTCTCCGACTGGTCCCTGGGGGGAGAAGGAACGCTCTTCTCTCCCTCCTTATTACCGGGGGAGGCATCGCTGCCGCCTTCAGCCCCATTCGCTTCCTCTCCGGGGCTTCCCTGACCCACTGAAAAGCCGTTGTCCCCACCAGTAGAGGAGATTGATTTATCTCCCACTTGATTGCCCTGGTTCTTGCCCTCGTGCTCAACGTTGTGGTCCTGCTTCTCGGTGTTCCGCTCTTGGTGGTCGGCTTGGTTCCTGTCATTAGCGTCCTGGTTCTCGCTGCGGTTTGTGTCATCGCTGCTGTGGTGGTTACCCTGGTCCTGGTTGTTGTCCCTCTGGTCCTTGTTACTGTCAGCCTGGTTACTGGCCTGATTCTTGTTGCTGCCTTCCTGGTTGTTCTCCTCGTTCTTCTTCTTCTCCTCCTCCTCCTTCTTCTTCCTTTCCTCCTCATTCTTCTTCCCTTCCTCCTCATTCTTCTTCCTTTCTTCCTCCTCATTCTTCTTCCTTTCTTCCTCCTCATTCTTCTTCCTTTCCTCCTCCTTTTCTTTGTTGTCCTGGTTGTTGTTGCTGCTGTTCTTGTTCCCCTGCCTCTCGTTATTGTTGCTGCTCTCCTGCCTGTTATCGGTGCTGCTCTCCTGCTTGTTCCCCTGCCTGTCGTTATCGGTGCTGCTCTCCTGCTTGTTCCCCTGCCTGTTGTTATCGGTGCTGCTCTCCTGCTTGTTCCCCTGCCTGTTGTTATCGGTGCTGCTCTCCTGCTTGTTCCCCTGCCTGTTGTTATCGGTGCTGCTCTCCTGCTTGTTCCCCTGCCTGTCGTTATCGGTGCTGCTCTCCTGCTTGTTCTCCTTGTTCTCGTCACTGCTGTCCTGCTTCTTCTCTTTCTGACTGTCCTTGGTGCCATTGCTGTCCTGGTTGTTCACCTGCTGCTTGTCAGTGTTCTGGCGACCGCCGTCCTGGCTCTGGCTGCCACTGCCTAGGTTGTTGGAGCTGCTGTTCTGGCTGTTGGGCTGGTTACCAGCACCATCGCCTTGTCTGTTGGTTTGGTAACTCGTATCACTGCCTTGGCCACCCTGGCCAACATTCTGCTTCTCCACACTGCTCCCATGGCCAGACGTGTCTGTGCTCTTCTGGTCCTTCCCAACCGCCTGTCTGTTACTTGGGTCTGATCTGGAGTTTTCCTCGTTGCGTGACTCTGGCTGAGAGTGCTGCTCTTGACTCCTGTCGGACTCATCCCCGTGGGTTTCCTGGCCGTTGGGTACTCGTGGCTGGGAGGATGTCGCAATGTCTGACGAAGTTCTGCTGGTCTCCAGCTGCCTCTGCTCCTC